GACAAACTGCTGCGTCCTCTCTAGTCTTCTTCTTTCCCTATTTCTTTTTTCTTTTACCGTTTCATCTTTCTCTCTTCGTCTTCTTTCTTTATTCTTTTAATGTTTGAATTTTTAAGCTACTATTGTATTTGTTCACACCTCTTTGTTGACAAATCCTACAAGTAAGTTCTTGCATGGTGAAATAGCTATTGAAATGGGGTAATTTTGGATTTCTCTTCTTTGTAATATATATATATATATATATATATATTTAGCTAGGAAAAAGCAAAATTTATATAGCATTTTTAAAAAGCTAAAAAAGAACAACCGGTTTCGTCCCAGCCTTATCAAGATTATTTTCTGGAATATAAAAAAATATATAAGCGTGTAAATTAAATATAACGAATGGAAGGGGGAAAATATGAATTTCAAGAAAACTAGAGTCCAATAACATTCAGATGCAGTATTCCCTTTGTTTAAAAAGGGTAGGCCCACGGGATCTGATATACAAGGACTCTAGAACCTTGAGCTGATATGAGGAGTGGTATATGGTATTTATATGATATATGGTATTTATCAATCCACCCACGGGGATCGAATGTGGCACAAGGCCTTTTTAATGTGGGTATCTCTGAGCCCGTAGGCCCAGCCAAAAATAAATAACCATCCAAACCTGCCGAGGCGGGCCAGTTCCGTCAACCTCCCCAACGAAACCCTACCCTTCGGCAGAGCTTCGTCTGGGTTCCTCTCTGCAAGCAGAGAGTTCGACGAGACACCCGACCTGGCAGCTCACAAAGCGCAGATACTACGCTTTGATCCTAGCCACCGGGCCGAGCGGGTATTTTATACACACACACACATATATATATATATATATATATATATATATATATATATATATATATATAAGGTCCAGACAGAATTATATCTAACTAATGTCCTGTTATGTGGAAGGTATATCTGGGAGGTATATTTGGGATCTATTTCTGCAGCACATCACATATATATATATATATATATATATATATATATATCAATGAGAGTGTGTGTGTGTGTGCCTGCGTGTGCGTGTGCGTGTGCGCGACGAGTGGTTACAACGTTCGCTTTCTGACTCATCATTGTCGATTTGTCAGGGAGGGAGACATCCTGATGATATCGGTCTGGCGATCCCAGTGTTCGCCATCTTTCGAAAGTGGCTGAAAACTATACCCGCGGGTTGACCCAAGCCTTGTGAGTGAAATTGGATAGACGGGACTCTTGAGCGCCGTCGATGGCAGTGCTGTCGTGAAGTCACAAGTCATCGTGACCGAGGTTTCATCGTTCTGGTCTTGTTCAGATTGTTGATCACGCTAGATAACACGCTTCTCTACCAGAAATTGTGACCAAGGTCTACTCAGCATAGTTGCAGTATCAACCACAGGTCAGCTCTGTGGGTGTTGAACATACATAAAATGGGACTGAACAAGCGTCTGCAGTATGGATTAGCTAACCGCCCTAGTAGAAGGGTATCCTCGAATACGAATGGCCGGACATTAATTAATATATATGAATAAAGGGATACGCGTTTCGTCCTCATGAAATTTATCAAGGCAAATTTAGCTTTATTAATGTATATGACAACAGCTCCGACATAAAGGGATATAACGGTGCAAGAGGATATCAACACTCAGAAAACAGCCTCGATCTGCCTACCCTATGTGAAGGCAATATCGGGAAAAATACAAAAGGTCTGTGTTCCATATAATATCAGGGAGATCTTCAAAAGTGATTCAACACTTACCAGACACCTCTTCCGATTAAGACCTCCCATAGGGAGGAATATGATTAAAGAGTGTGTGTCAGCCATCACATGCAGATGTGGGAAGAAATATAGAGAGAAACAGGCCGTCCCCTTACGATAAGGCTGCAGAAACATCGTAAAGCCGTAACACGGGAGGAAATAGAAAAATTAGGCCTTGCAGACCAAAAATGGCGGTAAAAGGTAAAACAATGACCCCCTGTGAGATGAGGTTGAAATAAAGGACAGAGAACTTCATTGGAAAATATGAAAACAAAGAATCAGTGCATATTCCAGGCCACAAAATCTCCTGAGGCGGGCAAGCACAGACATGAATACAATATGGGAACCAATAATACGGACTCCCAGAGAAAAGCAATAATATTATTTAAGCATTTCACCCCAAGCAACGCGGGATGCCACTTGTACACAAGGGGTTACAGAGTGGGAGTGAGAGTTAAGAGTCGAGAAGGATGAAGAGAAGGGCAGGGAATAGGTCAAGGCATCTGGAGATGTTGATTGACATTACGTTTGAATAGTTGAAGATTATAGCTATCAGGGAAACGAGTAATAGAAAGAGAATTCTACAGACGGAAGGTGCAAGACATGAAGCTATTGGAGTAGAGTGGATGGTCACATTTAATCGTTTCGACAGTGAAAGGGTGGGACCTTGATGCCAGCCTAGTAGCACGCTTAAATTCATGGGAACTAGTGATAGTAGCTCGTCAGAGCAGTTACCGTGAAAGTATTTGTAGAAAAGACAGAGGGAGGCGACGGCAAGTCTGTGAGAGAGCGATTGAAGACGAGATGCCAGATCAGAACCAACCACATTGCTAATCCGTCTCGCGATCTTGTAGAGAACCTTAAAGGGGGCAGCGGGGGTACCAGACCATATATGGCAGCAGTATACCATGCAAGGGTGAATGGTTGATTTATAGATTTGAAGGATGGACTCAAGCGAGAAAAACGTTTTGGCGCGACACAGGAACCAACTTTCCTTGCAGTGGATAAAGCAATTGATTCAATGTAATTGTTCCATCTCAGGTCAGCGGACGATGTGAGACCAAGCAGTACGCAAAGAAGTGCTCTCGTGGAAAAATTACAATATGAGCTCTGGCAAAACAATGTTCACTGAGACATATTTATAAGTCCCCAAAATTCATACACTAATGCCTTAATGGACAAATGTCCCAGTGGATAAAAGCGTTGGTAGAATCCAGTGACTTGTCATAAAGTGTTGTGAGTTTAATACCTGACTACAGCTGATGTGACAAAATCCTTGGAGAGTTGAATTAAAGGGAGATAACTGAGAAACTCGGGAGAGACATGACAACTAAAACAATCTACCCCGGTAAACGGTTCAGTTCGGAGTTCCGATCACCTGAAGAAGGTCAGAGGTTACAACGTCTGAAACGTCTTGAATAAGGCAACAAAAATGATGACAGCAATCCGAACAATGTAAATAATTACAATAACACATCTCAGAAATATAGACAGATAATGTCTATAGTTCTTATTCCTATTGTCCTTTTATGTATGTTTCTAGTCATATCTGAAATTTTACACACACACACACACACACACACACACACACACACACACACACATGTTTGTCTCTGTGTGTATTGAGTGTATGCATCATGTAAATTTGACCAGCATCAATTGGGTCATATCAGTTTTATTGTGAAAATATTGTCCTACTAATACTACTGTGATAAGCAACCGGTGATATATATATATATATATATATATTGTTGTGGTACGATCCACCTAATTTACATAGTGGAGTACCGACCATATAAATATGGGTTGGTACCGGGAAGACGGGGGAAGAAGTAAGAAGAGATCCAATCGAGAGACTCTGCCCGACTGCGATTAAGTCAACCCATTCTACAGGAACAGTCTTCCCAAGAATATACCAAAACTAACTGTAAATATTGTGTACCTTTTCCTTGTTTCGATACATTTTGTTTACGTACATTTTGTGTTGTATTATTATTATTCCATGCTTATCCAAGCTTCAACATATATATATATATATATATATATATATATATATAAAGTGCTCGAACTACATTCCTTGGTTCCGCCAGGTCTAACCTGCAAGGCCATTTATATAGTTGCAAACCACCCACATTCTCTCTCTATTCCATCGGTGTGATGGAAGTTCCATTCGAATAGCTTCTTACCCCGAACCAATGCCCTGTTGAACTGACTTCCAAGAGGATCTTTCCCGATCACTAAAATTCTAACCTGTTCGAATCTAGACTTAACCGTTATCTTTCCCTACTCGTTATCCGTACAAACTGTCTCCTCACGTCACCCTCTAATTTGATTGTCCGCCAGGCCTTGTACAAGGTGAACCTGACTGTAAGAAAATAATTAAATAATAAAGAAAGTGTTTATAAGAACAGCAGTAAAAATCTGTTCTTCATTCATTATGTTTGCTCTTCAAATACACGCACATTCAAATACATTCCATAAACTAGGACGAATATTATGAGACAGGAGGATTTCGTTGGTAACAAAGAAAATGAGTACTAAACTGCTACGTGATATTTGTTTTACTTTACAGCAGCGAATTTTGGACGGTTTTCAAAGAGACTCGGGGCAACGGAGGTATTCTTCTACAGAAGGACGCTAAGGATATCATGGATCAAACATATGAGCAACGACGAGATTTTGAGATGGTGAAAACAAGGAGGAAGCTTATACTTATCATCAGGAAGAGGCAGCTTAAATTTCTGGAATACGTAATGAGAAAGGAGAACTTGGAGAATATGATACTCACAGGGCGAATAGAGGAAAAGAGAGACAAGGGAAAGCAACACGTGACATACCTAGCGGGCTTAAGCAAGTGGATGACAGAACAGGGTTTGTGAGAAGTAGCAAAAGAAAAAAACATTTTGAGAACTACAAGAGATAGGGGGAAGGTGGAGAGCCATGATCGCCTACGCCCTGAAGGGAGACGGCACAAGAAAGAAGAGGATGTATTTATCGCTTACTTTTCTCTTTCTCTTTCTCTATTTCCCTCTTTTTTATTTCTCTATTTATTGATCTAAGTATAATTATATTTAAAATTTGCTACATTAATCGTGATTGGAAAGAATTCTTTGTTTCTATGATAGAGCATTTCTTGATATAGTCGGTGTTGACATACAAATCAATAGTGACTGTCACTGATTGTCAGTGACTGTCATTCCTGCACTGACATCACTTGAATTACAATGCTGTTTTGATTGCTATGCTCAAGCCTTATCTATCTATCTATCTATCTATCTATCTATCTATCTATCTATCTATCTGTTTACATCTACTCTTATCTATCTATATTACCCATCTGCTTTTAATTAATTCTCCCAATCTTCTCTTATCTATCTATCTATCTATCTATCTATCTATCTATCTATCTATCTATCTATCTATCTGTCTGTCTGTTTACATCTACTCTTATCTATCTACCTGTACCCATCTGCTTAAAATTAATTCTCGCAATCTGCTCTTATCTATCTATCTATCTATCTATCTATCTATCTATCTATCTATCTATCTATCTACATCTGCACATCTGTTTACGTATCTATCTTCATCTACTCTTATCTATCTATCTATCTATCTATCTATCTATCTATCTATCTATCTATCTATCTATCTACATCTACTCATATCTATCGAAATATCTACATCTGCTATTATATATCTATATATTTATGTATCTATCTATTGAGAAACTGTATCCGTCATATCTTCTTTGCCTTGTTTCCTGAAAAATCCTCTCCAAATCTTGTAATCCCTATCCAAATCCAAATCATATGTCTGTTGTAAAGACCCCCCCCTCTGATTGATCATATCTTCAGGAGTGTAGCCTTACTTACCACGCTTGGCAAATTGCCGGTTGCTAAGGCTATTTAACCCATATTTGGGGTTTTGAATTCAAACATGTCCTTCTCCTAGATAGGTTGCTTCCTAGAGAAGAGATAGACACAGAGCTTTCCCCAAGTGAGTGAATTTAACGAACTCGTCTGGGATTCGAACTCGGCTCTCCGATTCCTCAATCCACCGTGCATCTGTTACAGTCCTTCATTTATTTAATCAGTTTCGAGTTTAATATTTCCCTTGCTTGTATTCAGTCTCCCAAATGATCGTCTCTATTCAGGAATACGCGTGTGATAAACACATTTCATCTGATTACAAAAATTGTAATAATGTCTTCAAGAATATTTTCTTTAAAATTCTAACACATGAGCAGGTATCTATTTACTCGGTTAGCCAGAAAATCCTGATGCACTTAGAAAGCGGAAAGAAAATTAAAAAAAAAATATTTATCTCTGTCTGTTGAACCGTCCAAGGGGTAATGCATTTTGAGCTTGTTCGACACGGTCGCGCCATCAACACTAAGCTGTATTGCCAGCAGCTTGACCGCGTGCAAGTCAAACTAAAGAAGCGTTTGTCAATCGTAGTCAGATTTTGTTTCAGCAAGACAATGTGAGGCCACACACTGCCAGATTGACTAAGGAGAAGTTCATATCAATGGACGTTGTGGAGATTCTTCCACATCCACCATTCAGTCCCGATGCTGCTCCGAGTGACTATAGCCTATTCCACTCAAAGGCACGCATCCTCTGCAATCAGCGATTCAACACTTGATGAAGTAAAGGAAGCTTGTTTACAATTTTTTTTTTAATTCAAAGCCAGGGGACTGTTATCTGGGAGAGATTCGGATGCTGGCTGATGTTTGGCAGAAGTTCGTCGAGAATGGCGGACATTATTTTGAAGAATAAATGTTGGTGCTGCTCCGTAAAATCTTCTTCTTTCCTTTCCGCTTACTAAGTGAGTGAGGACTTTCTGGTCAACCTAATACTTTGAAATATTTTAATCTTCATAATCAAACAGCTGAGAGTCAAATGAGCGCTACAAAATGAAGCCAACCGCTTTCGAAACAGCTTACGTTTAAATGTCTTATATTTTTTTTACTTATATATATATATATATATTATTTTATTTATATATATAGTTATATATTATGTTTTATATTTATATTATTTTATTTATATGTATATTTATATACTATTTTATTTATATATATATTTATATTAATATATTATTTTATTTATATATATTTATATATTATTTTATTTATATATATTTATATATTATTTTATTTATGTATATATATTTATATATTATTTTATTTATGTATATATATATTTATATATTATTGTATTTATATATATATATATATTATTTTATTTATATATATTATATATTCTTTTGTTTACATATATATTTATATATTATTTTATTTATATGTATTTATATATTATTTTATTTATATATATATTTATATATTATTTTATTTATATATATATATTATTTTATTTATATATTATTTTATTGATATATATTTATATATTATTTTATTTATATATATTTATATATGATTTTATTTATATATATATATATATTTATATATTATTTTTATATATATATATTTTATTTATATATATTTATATATTATTTTATTTATATATATATATATTTATATATTATTTTATTAATATATATTTACCTATTATTTTATTTATATATATTTATATATTTATATATATTTATATATCATTTTATTTATATATATTTATATATTATTGATAAAGGATAAATCTCTGGGATGTTGTGATGAAAATTAAATATGCTACTAGATTGGCAACTGTCTTTTCACAGTTCTATCTTTGAACTAACTAGCAAGTATGTTTTAATCTAAATAGTTTCTCTCGTACTTCTCTCCTGTGGAACTCTCCTGCGACTGCTTTACCTCCCTGGATCCTACAATCTTCAAAGGTTTAAATGCAACGCTAATCACCAACATTTGTCTACCTGAACCTGTATTTTTATTACTCTTTCTCCTCACCTCCCTAATTTCTTCTCATTCTCTTTTATTTCCAGAAACCCTTTGAGTCTGAGTGCCATTATCGCCTTGCTTAGAGTGAAATTATTAAAAAAAATCAGTTGAGTTTAAAACTTGTTACAAGTGCACCAACCCTAATTATGTAATAGGCATGTAATATAAGTTACCGTCTTTCATCATTAGTTGGCTTGCGTGAAATACTATAATTTAATTCCCTGGATGACTGCAAATGGCACTTTGAAAAGTTCTTTACTCAGAAACATAAAACAAAATGTCCCGGGTGGATGGAATTATGTAGTTACCTGAAAGATGGCAGAAGATACTAGAAAATTCTAATCTCGAAATAAATAAAAAAAGTATTCTATTTTTATTTATTAAACCGACCGAACCCCTTTAAGCAACCCAGTTGATGACTCACTCCAAGGAGCATCCGCTTAAATTAGCAACGATATTAATATATATCTAACACGTGATAGATTCATTTACCTTACCGGTCTCCTAGACATCCTCATTTTTTAATATTTTATTTTCACATGCTAGAGTGTTATATAATCTGGTATAAGTATCCTTCCATCTAGTGGATTCAGCTGGATGTGCGCGTAGCATAGAGGCTGTTGACTTAACTTGGCATCGTCATGCCGAGTTCAAATTTTGGCCGATCTCGTTGTGATCACTTTCGAACAAATATCCTTGGGGAAGGTGCAAATTTTTTTTTCTCCCCTCAGATATGGGTCCAATATCACGGCAGACTAGGCTACCGAGACTTGGGTTACGTTAGCAACTCCACCCAGTACAAATGTCGCCTTTTATAGAAATTACAACAGCGACACTAAAGACGAGTCGTTCATTTCCGTCTCTTTGCTGGATCTAAAATGAAAAATGTGCTAAAATTTTAAAGGTGTTTAATTGACATGCCCCGAAAAAATCTTAAGAAATGCGGCCGAAGAACTGGAAAATGTCCAGGTATACATACACCTAAATCTAGGGATAAAACACTGAGAAAATGTTAATAGGGATGAGGGACAATAAAAGACATTACCGCTTTGGTTAGGGTGAAATGATTAAAAAAAAGTATATATATATTATACAAAATTTAACGTATTTTGAGATGCCCTGGCCGAAAAAAAAAAAAAAATTGTATCACATTTCAACCTCGACCACATTAAGCTGAAGGTGTCCACGGAATTAGAACGTACACAAATATATATCCCTGCATTACAAAGCGAAAAAGAAAATGAAATGACGTAAAACGGTTAGTTAAAAAAAAAAAAAAAGAAAAAGAAAAGATAATATGACATTAATGAGAAATCGTAAACGTTTTAAATTCAAAATAACATACCATATTTAAAATCGAGGTACAGAGTTATTTTCTCCTTATTTTCTACGTGCCATATCCATTCAAGAGATCGACGATCAGGGTTCCTCACAGTTCCTTGTCCTTTCTAGCTTTTAATAAAATTTGTCTTTTTCTTATTTGGACGAAACCTTTCTCCGCCATCCATTTACTCAAGCTCTCTAGATACGCTATGCGTTCTTTTTCACTATCCAGCTTACCTTCAGTTAGTCCTGTGAGTATAAAATTTTCCAAACATTATTTCCTCAGTACGTGCCTCAGAAAATTCAACTGCCCCTTTCTAATATTTAGTATAATTCTCATTATTGTTTCTATTTTCTCGAAAACGTCGTCGTTACTCCCATGTTTGAGCTATGGTATGCTCAGCATCCTTCTGTAGAACGGCATTTCTACTGCTTTATATCTCTTCTTCAGCTGTGAGGAGATTGTACAGATTAGTTAAAATAAAAACATTTTTCAAATCTGTTTAACAAGACATTTTGTATCGAAGTAATATTCCAGTTATTATTTTACGTTTTCTTAATGTGTTCCGAGGAAGGCCCAAACTCCTGAACGACATTTGTTTTAGAAATCGTTCTTCTGATAAACAATCTTTTACGTTCAAGTTCATTTACACCGGCATTCATTTACGAAGATGTGAAATTCATTTTTTTTACTCTAACCCATTTTTTAATCAACATAAACCAAGATCATATAATGTACAATTGACACGCTTAATTTTGAACGCCATAATTTTTTCATTGGCTGTATAGCATCAGCCTTGCATGACTATATCAGTCAGTTAGTTATGTGCCATCCGTGAACATGTAAGCGATCATGTATACATGATCATTAAGCGATCATGTATCTTTCGATACATGACTGACGAGGCAGATTTTTCCCGCATTAGGTTGCCATTTCTTTCTGTGACCAGTTACCATCCTGGAATCTACCCATAGCTGGGGCTGGGGAAGAAGCGGATTCAAGCATTTCGCATAAGTGAATTGATTCGACATTACTCGGCTCACTGATTCCCCAATCCGAGCCGCTACACATTACTCCACCGTGCCTCTCATATACGGTCTAAAATTCAAAGTTATCCTTCCCCAAATAAATAACCCAATCTGGCCTGTCATTTACCCCATAGTAATGACATAAAGATACACTCATTTTTAAAGTGTATTTGTGGGAAAGTAAGGAGATTTACTCGACACCCGACTGAGTCAGGTTGTGACACAAGGTCATTTATTAACGTGGGTACCCGTGTATTTTCACTCAGGCCGCTGATCCAAGCTGGTCTTAGCTGGTCATAGCTTGTCCAAGCTGGTCAGAACCGGTCTAAGCTAGTCGTAGCCGTGACACCAGCACAGGGACGGAGCCCTGTGACAGCAAGTGTAACAAATTCGTCTGGAATTCGAACACAACACATCAATTCAACTAACCGCACATCCAAATAGAATCATTACAAGTCACCAAGCCAAGAAAGCAACGAATGACGCGTTCTTATGATATATTTAATTATTTTTCTTTTATTTAGATAGGCTTATTATGCTGACAGAAAAATAGACCACTGTTCCATATTATTGAAGAAGTAGTTTGTGTAAATGGCGTTTCTGCAAAAGATTCAAGGACACACATTCATAATTTAAAATTTAAATTTTAGGATTCAAAATTAAAAAGTATATATGCTACTATAGGATCATTTACAGAAAACTTTCTGAGCTTTTACATATTATCCTCAAATTATCTTTGCTGGAAAAGTTTTTTCTAGATAATTCCAACAGTTACAAAGCTCAAGAACCACTGAAGATAGAGGCGCATTCATCAAAACAAAAATAAGGTAAGAAATGAAGATTAAGAAGAAAGATAATCATTGACCCTTGACCTGAAGTGTGAAGGGTGTTTTCCACAGATACAAAGTGGCAGTCTGCATAAAATAACAGACACATTTTTTCATATAAACACTCACTGAATACATACCAACGACTCTAATATATATATATATATATATATATATATATATATATATATATATATATATATTATGAAATGGATAAAGTCCGACTTATTTTAAGATATTTTTAGGTTTATACATTCTTTTCATAGATACAAATATTTAAATAAATGCTCCGTTTTTATAATAAACAGTATTAAACAATAGTTACCGGCCTGAATGTCCTGAATTCATAGAGAATTTTCGTCCTCCGACAGGAATCGAACCTGTATCCTATACGGAACCGTCATATAGCCTGACGTGCCATTTCATAATGTATGACATCATTTTTTTACATTTGATATGCTATGAGCAGATATGAATGTACGTAATAGATTCATGGAAGATTAAAGTTTAAAGACAGTAAAATCGACCTTGCTAACCGAACGCTCCTCTATGGCCAAAACGGTTAAAGGCACGTCAGGCTATATGATAGTTCCGTATAGGATACAGGTTCGATTCTATCTATCTTGTATTAGGGAAGCAGATTATTATTTAAACATACATTGTCTGTTATATTAATATATATATATATATATATATATATATATATATATATATATATATATATATATATATATATATATATTTTTTGTTCGATCCAGTGTCTTGACATAAAGAGTTGTGATTTCAATACCTGGCTACGACAGTGGTTAAAAATTAACTTGGAGTGTTGAGTTAAAGGGAGATAACCGGAAGAGGCTTGGCACGTGAAACTAGACCAATCTATTCTGGTAAACGAAATAAAGTGTTATTTCGAAATTCCACTCACCTGAAGAAGGCCGGAACGTACAACGGCTGAAATGTGGTGAATATGGAAATAAAGATAAGGGCAACAGTCCGAACAATGTAAATAATGTAAATAAATTTTAAACACTTATAGAGGTGGCGCAATATTTAAGGAGGGCTGTTTATTTTAAGTGAGAGGAAATCGCCTTGAAAAATATAAAAGAAAACAAAGAGAGAGAACCTGTGATGAGAGAGATAGAGAATTATCAGAACGTTTAAACAACAGTCTTGTTATCTTTGCTCTGCCATTGAACTAAGAGCATTAAAACGCCGGCAATTATCATGCCAAAGAAAAGACGCCAATCGAGGACAGGGCGGTCTGCCAAGCATACAGAACCCAGCCAATTATCGTCACGTGTAGACTTTTATAAACTTCGATGCTCAGTTTAATAGGGATTTACGTTTATCTTCTGCACTGCCTACTCACTTAGGAGGATTCCGTTAATACGACTTTTCCATGTTTTGGCATCCATAAAATTATCGAAACGGAAAAGCGATTCCGATTTCGTGAATAGAATGGAGATAAACGCCATCTTGTCGAAACTGAATTTACGCTGTGATTTTCTTATTTGTCTCAATGCATTCGTTTTTATTTTCCTCAAATTCGGTAGAGAAATTTTACGTCTCGACACCTATTCCTTAATCTCGCTCTCTCCCTATATATATATATATATATATATATATATTAAGATATTTTTATGTTTATACATTCTTTTTATAGATACAAATATTTAAGTAAATGCTCTGTTTATAATAAACAGTATTAAACAACATTTACAGGCTGAATTGGTAGAGTCGAGTATATATATATATATATATATATATATATATATATATAAGGCAGGATGTGTGTGTGGGGGGTGTAACAAATGCACGGACGCAATTTTAGACGAATTTGCACCAAAATTTACATGCACATGCTCCAAGTTAGCGAGAAGGCCAAGACCGACTTTGCATTTCCAAACTCCCATCGATAGTGGAAATAATTTTTTTCATGCTTCTACGGCAGTTTTCATGTAGTTTGCGGCCATTTTCTTCTGGCCAGCGTGAGAGCCTATAGCTGGCTGCCACGAATAGACAGGAAGACACTATTGGCCAGCGTGAGAGCCAACAGCTGACTGACACGAATGTTAACTAGCATGCTAGCATGCAAAAAAATCGATAGCTGCATTCGTCACAAGTGAGAAAAATTTAAATCTGCATGGCACTTTACTCCAATTGGCTCATTCGCTTGCTTAAACTCAACGTTGATTCTGATTCTGCAGAACTGGGTTGGGTGTGAAAAAGTATTTGTTGTTAACATTCTTTTTTTTATTCGGTTTTTCCAGTTAAGAGTCCTTTTTTAAAGCTGATCGTTTTGTGTTCATTTTGTTTAGTTCTTTTTTCGTAACAGATTTAATGTTTAGTATAGAGATTAGAAAAAATTCGCAGTATGAGATAGGCAAGAAGTAAGGCATGTAGCAACATCAGCACGGCAAAGGGCACTCCTTTAAAATCAAGGAAGGGCAAAAATATTTTAAGTCAAGTGATAGCGATTACTGTATGAGTATGAATGAGATGACATTAGTTGGGTGACGTTAGGATAAAGACAATAAAGTACCAGGATTCTGGAAGTCTGAAGATTCCAGAAAAATTTATTGAAAGTTGCAGGTGGCAGAGAAACAAGAAAAGTTCTCTACCGACGAAAAAAAAAAAAAAGAGAAAAAAAAGAAAAAAAAAGAAGCTCCGTATCATCTACCATGCAATCTATTGTGAAAACAGAATAATGTATATCATATTTTTATTACTACAAAAACCCCCCAAAAAATTAAATATCTGTTTTAAATGGCCCTTATGGAATTAAAATGCCGCTAAAAAACAAATCAATTTCAGAAGTTTGCTAGCCGTTGTACCACGTACAATTACCTTGCAGGTCTAAATATTTCAACTGTTTAGCTACCATTATGTCGATATGTAAGGGAGTGCTATCAGATTATCGACCAGAACTATTTGTATTCGGCCAAAGCATCTGTTGGACGTAGACCTTAACTAGATTCATGAGGAGGAATGGGTCATTACCCTCCAGCACTAGCCAATGGATGTTAGTAGTGGGCGAATTTGCCACACTTGGACGATCATGTCTCTTTTTCATCCCTGATCATCCAATTTTATTTAAGCGTAAATAAATGCAGCAAACCAGACTGGTATTCGAACTTGGTTCTCTGATTTCTCATTATCCAGTACACCAGCCGCACACCCAAGCTTAGAGCATCTCGTATTCCCATGTGTTCATCCATCTATCTAGATGACAACCTGACTCGACGTTGCTTAATTTTGGGGATCAGCTGAGAACCGGTGTTACAACGTGATATGGCCGCAAGTGTAATAATTTATGGTAGGGAAAAATGGTAGAATAATGTTGAATAAATATTTAAATATGAAACAATGTCGAATAATTATTTAAAATAATTTTTTAATTCGTTACAATGACGTGCATGTGTTGTAACGGTCAGATTCTTGTAAACAAGGAATCAGCGAGCAATGTTTGAATTCCAGTTTGGAGCGTTACATTCCCTTTTCAAAAACACCCTTAGGAATGGTATGAATCCATCTCTTCTCTGCTAGTTACGGGTTAAATAGCAGGACAGACTCTAGCCGTGACTGTCAACCAGTATAGGAGAAAGAAAATTCTTAATACAAACCGTATGTGGCACTGGCGGTTCAAGAAACAATAATCTCTCTGAAAGGTGGGGTTATGCTAGTTATCGGCATGTACTGAGCTTGGCACAAAAAATAACATAGGTATAATGGTGGGTGACATTCATTACAGACGTATGGATAGTGTTTGAATAGTTAGCAATCCATTACCCCATGGAGAAGTGCACTTTGTCAGCTGTTACCAGGGTCCATTCATTTATAATTGGAAGGAAAACAAAACAAATAAATCTAATGTTAAAAAAATTAAAATATTTCACCGCTACATAATAGATCCTTTGTTAGCAAGTGTTTAATTTAAATATGGCAACGGAAACTTTCACATTTAACGTTACTACAATCAGTGAGTGTCTGCCATTATTAATCGTAGTTATAAGGCTGGCACAATTACTTCTGAAGAAAATTCGATATTATTATTATTATTATTATTATTATTATTCGTCTAGCAGAATAGCGTCTTTGATCATTGGCGCCTTTAGAAGCTTTTAACAAAGAATATGATTGCAGGTAATTTAAAGAAGAAAAAAAAACGCTATTATTTTTTTTTAAATTCTCTTTTTTTTCACTTCGAAAATGCCATAATATGATAAACAAAGAATGTCGGTAACTTGAAAAGAATTTTTGGGGGCCAGGTATAATAAAAGATTAAAGTTTTTTTTTTATGTACTCAGAATACCTGCCTGTTTTAACAAGGTCTGGTAGCTCAGTTTTGTTAAGAGTTCGTTTTTACACCTGCAGAACCTGGGAATACCTAGATAAGAGAGAGAGAGAGATAGAGAGAGAGAGAGAGAGAGAGAGAGAGAGAGAAACTCAGAAAGACACAGACGAGACAAATAAACATAAGGATAAACTGATAGAAAAGTGTTGCAAAGAAAAAGAAAGAGAAAAAGAATCTAGATGAGAGAGGAGGAAAGATAGAAAAAAAGAAAAACAAACAGACGGATAAACCGATAGAAATGTGTTGCAAAGAAAAAGAAAGAGAAAAAGAATCTAGATGAGAGAGAAGAAAAGATAGAAAAAAAACGAAAAAAAATAAACGTGGGTTAAACTAACAGAAAAGTGTTGTAAAGAAAAAGAAAGAGAAAAACAATCTAGACGCGATAGAAAAAAGAAAGAAAAACAAACAGACGTATAAACTAAAAGAAAAGTGTTGCAAAGAAAAAGAAAGAGAAAAAAAATCTAGACGCTAGAGAAGGAAAGATAGAAGAAAAGAAAAACAAACAGACGTATAAACTAACAGAAAAGCGTTGCAAAGAAAAAGAAAGAGAAAAACAATCTAAACGCGAGAGGGGGAAAGACAGAAGAAAAGAAAAACAAATAGACGTATAAACTAACAGAAAAGCGTTGCAAAGAAAAAGAAAGAGAAAAAAATCTAGACGCGATAGAAAAAAAAAAGAAAAACAAACAGACGTATAAACTAAAAGAAAAGTGTTGCAAAGAAAAAGAAAGAGAAAAAAAATCTAGACGCTAGAGAAGGAAAGATAGAAGAAAAGAAAATGATGTAACCTTAAGTGTGAAAAACTTCGAAACACTCGTGCACTGGATGGTTTTCGTTCTTACCCACATTTTCTTTTTCCCCACGTATCCTGATTATATATTGTGATGTAATAAATAAAGAGGTATTTTACCTGTGGCAGGTATGGGACACAAAAAGGATTTAACACTATTCCACCTGCAACGAAGAACATCAAATCATATCGCAATTCAATGCTGGATCCGCTCACTCCATCAATCAAAGCACTACACAGCATACACTGAATTCCAAGTGGGTTCCATGACATGAAATATATGAATCAATCCAAGCACTTTCTAGTGTTGTCTATAATCGAGTTGTGTTCATAGAAATATACGCCTGGTCAGTATGTAGATGGGTGACCGCTTGCAAATAGCAGGGACGGTATGTTTGGATGTGCTGGTGGTCTAATGGATAACGGCCCCGAAGTGGAAATCGGAGAGCCGAGTTACCGACCGGTAAATGCAATTAATCCTTTTTTTTATTTAAAAAGCAGAGTATTTATTTAAATAAATTGTATCTATTTAAAAAAATAACAGAAAATATATTAAATAATTATCGGACTTAATTCAGTTCATAATATGTTGTCAATGTTTACGTTAAGGTACATTTCCTGAACAGATATGATCGTTCAGGAAAAATCGTTGAAGATTTGTTGATTATAAACAGTAATTTGGACTTAAACGCTTTCTCTGTAGCTGAGTGGTATAGCATAGCATAGCATAGCATGTCAGGTCAAATGACGGTTCCGTATGGGACACAGGTTCGATTCCTGTCAGAGAACGAATATTTTCTACGAAACTTATCGAACATTCAGACCAGTAAATCTTATTAGGACTGTACATATATATATATATATATATATATATATATATATATATATATATATATATATGTATGTGTTTTGTGTAAGAACATAATTTACTTAGCTACTTGATGAGACTCCACAGTTATACAGAAGGGTAAAATCTTTCCATTATATATATATATATATATATATATATATATATATATAACAAAAGATTTAAGGCACAGTCCCTAGTACGAAGAATCACCTAAAAAAATGAAAAGTGTGTGCCTTTGTTAATACTAATTTTTGAACTCGCCTTGGGCTCATGGTCATTTTTTTCTTCCTGAAGGTCTTTATCGTATATTCAATAATAATAATAATAATAATAACAACAACAAGAACAATAATAATAATAAGGTTATTAACAGAAAAGTCTGCAGAAAGTCTCCTATATGATTTTCCTGAATATTGGTAAGTTTTGATATATATATATATATATATATATTCCTAGGCATATAGATATATGTGTGTGTGTGTGTGTGTGTGTGTGTGTGTGTCACGAAAGTCTACAATCATATCCTATAATTCATAAATTAATTACATAATTTTAGCAATCTGGGGACGATGAAGATTTGGAAAGAGTTGGATGAGTCTAATGGCGATTACGAAGGTATGGCAGCTCGGAAAATCTCATCTGTCTGAGAAGTAAAGAACTCCAAAATTTGTTTATGAAGGCCTCAGATTCAGCATGGAGACCTACATCAAGTGTCTTGAGGAGGTACTGCTGCCCTAGATCATGAGGGTGGCTGCTGGAAGACACTTTGTCTGGCAGCAGGACACTGCACCATGACCCACAAGCAAGTATACCAAGTCATGGCTTCCAGACAATTTCTGTGATTACATCACCACTTACATCTGACCACCTAACCCAGCCTGCAACCTCCTTGATTATTATATGTGGAGCCCAGTTGAGCGAGAAACCAACAAAACTCCTTGTAGCATCAAAGATGAACTAAAGGCAAGGATTATGGCAGCATTCGCCGGTTTTAACAAGGAGACTGTCCAGAAGGGTTGTGGAAGAGACCGAAATCTTCTGGAGGTCGTGGTTACAGCAAGGCGATTTTATTGAATAAATTTTCTTACATTTATGATTAATAATGAGATGTCAGTGATATTTTCATTTTTACGCAATTTAGACTACAATTTATCCTTTCATAGCTTTTATGTGTTATTTAATGCGTTCTTCAAATAACCACTCCGAGGAATTTAACCACATTCTTAACGTTTGGCAATTACTGACCAAAGACAATTTTTCTTTAACGTTAGCAATTTTGTGAATGGAATGTTTAGTGATCACATACTTTTACGTGGCCTTGTCGCTGAAAAATAAGGACTGAGAAACTCCAATCCAGACATGACAGATTACTTTAGTTAGCTGTGCAGTCGGGCAAAGAATTACGTGAAAACTGATTTCTGAACTAATTTTTAATTATGTATATAGAACTATATCAGATTGAGCCAATGGTTGGAGCATACATTAATATTCAACAAACACTGCTTCGAAAACAACAGCGAGTAGGAGGTGAAACATTTTGGTCTGCTATTTCATGTTAATTATGATGAACCCCTGTGACGTATAGGACCGCAGCCTCGCATCCTTAGCTTTTGCTGCCGTGGTTTGCGTAGAAAATAGTTTTCTTTCTCGTTGGATTTGTTAGCCCTACACGAGCCTGTTTTCACTTCAAAGTGGTCCTTCCCCTAGACTGCGTGCAAACCGAAGCTAGCGAGTCCACGCTGCTCATTTTTTTTAGTCTAAAGCTGGTGGGGAGGAACTGTAATTGTTTTATGTTTTTCCAGAGTTAGATTTTGATAATTTTAACCCAAGAAAGGCGATAACACCCCTAAGACATAGAGAGTTACAGTAAAATAAAAGGGTTAAGGAAGACAGAAGATGGCGATTAAAGTTGCATTTAAGTTTTTGAAGAACGTGGTGATTATGGGGGTTGGAAGGCGAAAAATGCGAAAAGAGAAAAATTTAGAATAAAACAAACGGCTGTATCCAGCTATTTTATCAGTAAAACGATGAGGTTATTTGCCAATCTGATGGTAGGCTTGTTGTATTCATGCAAGTAATATACCAAGGAAGCGAGTTCATTCAAAAAATTGCAACGAAAATATTTATTGCAGAGGGAGCCACAACACCGCGGTGGGAAAGTGATTGAATTCGATATACCCGATCAGGAAGGATAGGATTACAGACCCTTTTTTGGACTTTGTTGAGAATCTTGAGATATATAGCAGAATCACCAGGCCAAATATGGCAACAATATTCAATGCACGGACAAGTGGTAGTTTTATTAACGTGTAAGAGGGATCCTGGTGAGAAAAAAAATGCCTGTCCAGATACCGCGAATCAACCTTTCCTAACAGCAGATCTAACAAGTATGCGAAAGCGATACCACTTCAAAAACTGATAACTGCTACGTTTACATGCTATATATGATGCATATAACTGCTACGTTTACATGCGATATGATGCATATTTAAAAATTAATGTTCAAAAGAAAATCTTTTGTAAGAATATTTTCTATTAGTAGCAAAATACGATAAATTGCTGAATTTAATCTACAGATGTTAAATGAAGCCCCATCTATCATGGGAAATTTGTTATCGCTTGAAGATCAAATATGGAGAACCTGCTGAAGAGCTATTTGAAGCGGCAAAATTGATAAGAAGGTTGCCAATAATCGGATGACTTTCCAAGTTTTGCTGAGATGTGGTGCAAGGCCAAAGTGTGGAGCACCCAGCGAGGATAGAACTCATTACTCAGTCGTAATTGATCTAGCGAGACAAGCTCGCTAAACATTACACCACGTCGAATTGCCGAACTGTTTTTCTAAGCGTAGTTTAGATGTGGCACAAGGCCGTAAGTGTGGAGCACCCAGTGATGATCGAATTCATTATACAGCGAGATTGATTTAGCGAGACACGCTTACTAACAATTACAACATTTCGAAGTGTCCAAATGATTTTCTAAGAATAGCTTAAATATGGTACAAGGCCGAAAATATGGAGCACCGGGTGAGGATCGAACTCACTATTCAGTCGTAATTGATTTAATGTGACACGCTTACCAACAATTACAACATTTCGAAGTTCCCAAATGATTTTCTAAGCGTAGCTTAGATGTGGCACAAGGCCGAAAATGTGGAGCACCCATTGAGGATCGAATTCACTATTTAGTCGTAATTGATATAGTGAGACATGCTTACTAACAATTATAATATTTCGAAGTTCCCAAATGATTTTCTAAGCATAGCTTAGATGTGGCACAAGGCCGAAAATATGGAGCACCAAGTGAGGATCGAACTCACTATTCACTCGTAATTGATCTATCAAGACAAGTTTAATAAACATTACACCAAGTCGAATTATGCAAATGATTTTCTATGCGTAGTTTAGACGTGGCACAAGGTTGAAGGTATGGGGCACTCGGTGATGGTCACACTCATTCTTCAGTCGTAACTGATCTAGCGAGATAATCTTAATAACCATGGCGCCGCATTAAAGTTCCCAATTGATTTTTGAAATGTTGATTAGATGTAGGACATGGCCGAAAATGTGGGACACCTCACTGAGGATTGAACTCACTTTTCAGTCGAATACATTGCATTCACTTACGTTCTAATACAGGGTTCTAGAGCCTTGGATGGCAACTGGTCTACCACAGAAAGAAATTACAACCTACTGCGGGGGAAAAAACTGCCTCGTCAGTCATGTATCGAAAAGATAAATGATCGCCTAAGCGTTTATCATTCATGGCACATAATTGACTGATACAAGCTTGCTAACCATTACACTACGCCGAAGTGCCTGTATGTTGCCAATAATATCAGATCGAAACTAAATTCTCTACTCAGTTTTCACGTCCTGGGTATGAAGATAAACTACATCTGCGTCCAGGGTAAGACGATAAACTACGTCCAGCAGCAGGGCCTCTGATCAGGAGGTTTTGAGGAGCGTAGAACCTCCTCTTAATTGCTGGTGTTCCCAGGTCCACCTTGACCGGCGGTGGTAGCACCTGTTAGGATCCCAGCTATGGGCAAATAGTTAACCCAGAAACTGAAGTAAAAAGCATTATAAAAGTGTAAAAATAGGTTTTAATACCAGAATCACTTTGTAAAAAATTATTACCAGAAATACATTTTTGAAAAAAAAAAATATTACCAGCAATATGTTGAAAAAAAAAATATTACCAGCTATACGTTTTTGGAAAAATATTACCAGCTATACGTTTTTGAAAAAATAATATTACTAGCTAAACATTTTTGAGGAAAAAATCTTAACAGTAATAGATTTTGACAAAACAAGAATATTCCCAGAAAAATAAAGTTGTCGGCATTAAATGACCCATTGAGATCGATATGCCGTAAAACAAACCAAACCAAACCAATCTACTCAGTTTTCGATTTATACAGCGATCGGTAATTGAAGCCTGTCTTCATTTTGCTGAACGTTCGAGATTAGAAAAGTTGTGCCAAAAATCTCGCAAGAATTGTCTATTGCTCTAAGCGATATCACTAGGAGTTTTGATAATCGTTTGAATGCATCTCGGTGGCGTTGCTTTTAAGTCTGATATCGATACTAGACATATATTTTAAAAAAATCTTATAAAAAGTAAAATTTCAATATCTGTCTATATCTCTGAGATGAGGTATTATACTTTCTTGTATTATTCACATTATTCGGACTGTTACCCTCATCATTATTGTTATATTCCCAAAGTCACGGCAGTTGTACGCTCCGACCTTCTTCAGGTGATTGGAATTTCGAGCCGAACCCTTTATTTCGTACACCGGAGTAGAGTGTTCTAGTTCCACATGCCATGCCTCTTCCGGATATCTCAGTTATTTCCCTTTAATTCAACTCTCCAAGTTTTGGTTCAACATTGCTTTGGCCTGGTATTCAACGCACAACTCTTTGGGTCTAGTCACTGGATGTAACCAACATCTTTATCCATTGGGTCATGTGCCCTTGAGGACACATAAAGACGTTGGTTAAGTTGTGAATATGGCAGTGAAGATGAGGATAATAGTCCGAATAATGTAAATAATGCAAGAATTTCTCTCTTCTTAGCTTAGTTTTATTAGACGCTCAAAAGAATGTTTTAAGTAATCCTCTACACTCTTTCTTTTCCTATAAATTAGTGTAAATAAACGATTTCTATCTGCTTCACTTTCACATTGAGGGCGAGTTTGTTTTATTGTGCATGTAGAGATATAAAAATATTGAATGTTTTGGATATGAGAAAATTCTGATATTTAATCAGCTATGACAACTTTTTTGTTTATTTATTTATTTATTTTTTAACGCCATATTAATTCATTATGGGTCATTTAATGCCGAAATACGATTTTCTTTGGAGCTTCAAAATAATAAAATATATGGTATATTAAGTAAAATTTCGTCTGACAGACATTACAGCTGATACTATTTTGAGTTAAGATGCTAAATTATCTTCTAAAGATAAAGATTTCTTCTCTTGAGCCAAGGAAAACCTGAGTGTTATCCCTGATAAAAGTGTATCAAGTAGTCGGCTTCTTAGGCATGTAAATGACATGGCCAATCAAATATAGATGTTGATCAACAAGTCTAGCTTTGATGATCGTTCACTGTGAGTGATTGCAAACTTCGACATTCGGTACCTTCGGAATGAATCCGAACTTCTACATACGGTACCTTATCCAGGTAACATTGTCTGTTCTTTGTGTGCTGGGCACAAGGAATAATTCAAGATTTTGCAAATGGCGACGGTATTGGATTAAGTACTCAATAGTGTTGAGATTTTTACTGTCTTGTAAACCGCGGATTTGATTTCACTGTTTTCACTTGTTCAGGAAGATACGATCGGCAAGTAGTGCAAACGCCGCAGAGGACAGTGGTCGATCGACTGTGAAAATATTTTCCCATTCTCAAAAACTTTTGCACTAATTTTCCGTTTCTCATTTCATGGTTTGTAGAAAATGCTCCAGTATAGTCCTACGGACAATCGATACATACTTCAAGAATAAGTTCCTCAATGTATTCAGTTAATAACTCAAGAAGAAAATATAATTACTTACACAATGTCTCTTTGGAGGTAGAAAATTTACTTTTAGAAAACATTGGTAAGCATTGGTTTAATATGAAATGGTAATAGTCATGATAATATTTGCCGTTTCTTCCAAGAAAACAGTATCCATTGACCGAGCAACCAGTAGCGATTTCAGTAGAAATTTGTCTTATCGGTCCTGATCTGTCATCTCGACTGAAGTCAATTTCTCACAGACGTAACGTAGATTCTATGCGCTTTTTCTATAAATGTGTTCATGGTAATTGTTCTGATGAGCTTTCCTCTTTGGTACCTGGCCTTTTACAAATTTACTTTAGCTAGGTCTTATCATTTTACAGTTGAAATTGCTAGATGTAACCGTAAAGTCCATGTTGTCCATCTTGCAATTCTTGCTTTCCAGTCAACTTTTAAATTTAAATGCAATGTCAATCGTTATCTTCGGTTTTCTTAATTTAAGTTTTTTTATTGTTCTCTCTCCTTAATAATGTTTTTTCTTTTCCTCTTTATTTCATAGTAAGCCCTTGTGTCTTAGTCACTTTATTGCCTTACTTGAAGTGAAATGATTAAAAAAAATAATGAAGATAAACATCGATTGACTTTAGTCTTGAAGAGGTTAATGTATTGTTTGGGGAAGCATCCTCTCAGGAGTCCGTTCCGTAAAGTAGGGACTCTTGGACAAAAGCTATCTGAATGGAACTCCCTTCGTATCAATGGATTAGAAAAGGAATGGATATGGTTCGTTCCTATATTTAAGGCATGTCGGACTTTAGCTCTAAATGTCTGAATGGTGGATCTAGGGAATAAAGCTCCTCGGAATATATATGTATACTATGAATATTAAGTCTGGTTATTAAACAGCGTCTTACTATTGATAAGAAGCAGCAGTGTCGCTGGTATGGCGGTGAAGGTGTTCTATTCTCGGTGGACATTCTGCTTTCAAAGTGATTATCAATCAGTTTTGTTTTAGCGATCGCAGAAACAGGTTTTCGAGTAGCCGAATTTGGGTGATAGACTTGCGTAACTTCATTTTGTATCATAATCATCGGTTTGATGAATGTCCTTTGTCTGAAGCTGATTTCATTAGGATCCTTTGCGAAAATAAGTCTTGAAATAGAGAAGAAGGGACACACATTTCTATTGTGTTTCATATTTGCCGAATCATATGAGTATAGACATTGATCTGTGTTCGAACCTTGGAGAGAACAAGAATTTCAAATACAAATATTACGAGGCTGGTTTGTTTCTCTAACATGAATTTTAATTGTTTATCCGCCAAAGAAGATGGCGGCATATTTATCTATTTATCTGTTATTTTGTGACTTTCATACATTTTTCTTCTTTAAGAATGAAGTTACATTCTTAAGAAATCATTTTTTTGTTTTGTCTTGATATTCAGTCAATTTTAGCATAGAAAAAGAAAGTTATAGTGTAAAATAGAGATTTTTTTTTTTTCTTTTATCATTCTTTGTTTTCATTCACACTTTTTTTGTTCATTTTTTCTTTCTGCTATAACGTTTCTTCAACCAATTTCTTTCCTTCTTTCACTTTTCTTGATTCTATTCGCATATATTTTTGAGTTACAATTTTTCTTCTCGACCTGTCATTCATTCATTCATTCATTCCATATTCTTGCTTTCTCTTTTCTTTATTCTTTCTACATATTCTTCCTCCTTATAGCGTTTCTTTCTTTTCATATTTTTCTTACTACTATAACGTTGTTTCGAAAACTTTCTTTCTATTTTCTCTTGACTTTCTTTCTTTCTTTCTTTCTTTCTTTCCTTCTTTACTTTCTTTCTTTCTTTTTTTCTATTTGTTCTTTCCACCATGACGCTTCTTCTCGTCTTTTGTGTGCATGTTTGTTTGATTGTTTCTTTCTTTCTTTCTTTTCCCATTTTCCTTAGCATTATAGCATTTCCTTACACTTTCTTTCTTTCTTTCTTTCTTTCTTTCTTTCTTTTTCTTTCTTTCTTTCCAGCCCTGTTTTGTTTCTGCAATTGATGGTCTGCAACGCCTTTAAACACCTCATAATTAATGTGCAAAAAAGAACGTCTACCAATTTCGTCTGTGTGCTTTTTACTACTTAATGCCACAGATTTAGAAAAGAAACATATGACTTATTTATTTAAGACCGACGTTCATTTTTGGATTTGTTTTTTGCCAGCTCATGTCTAGATTCCATACTTGACTTAATCAACAATCTGAAGTTTTTATCACTTACAAAATGTAGCATATTTTCAGCCAAAGTTAACCCTTTTCTAAGAGCCAAAGTTTTTTTATTCAGTCGGTAAGAAAAGGAAATATCATTTACTGTAATTTTTCAGCCCCAAGGACGAAAAAATTTATATTCAACTGCTTTTATACACCAGTTGACGTCTATATATATAAATATTTATTAAGTTTCGCTGCCAGACAGAGAAACATAATAGAGGCGTATTCAATGATTATGTGGGACATACATTTTTAAAGTGGTATTCATTCTGTAAGAGATCCGAGGGACACTCAAGATATAAGGTTACAGAGTAAGAGACAAAGCTTATCCGGATGTGTGTGAAAGATAACGGTTAAACCTAGACAGCTTGGTTGAAGTGATCGTGGAGCAACCTCTTGGGAGTCGGTTCCACGAGGCATTGGTTCGTAGGAAGAAGCTGTTTGAGTGGACAACCTCTTGGGAGTCGGTTCCACGAGGCATTGGTTCGTAGGAAGAAGCTGTTTGAGTGGACAAGGTCTTGGGAGTCAGTTCCACGAGGCATTGGTTCGTAGGAAGAAGCTGTTTGAGTGGACAACCTCTTGGGAGTCGGTTCCACGAGGCATTGGTTCGTAGGAAGAAGCTGTTTGAGTGGACAAGGTCTTGGGAGTCGGTTCCACGAGGCATTGGTTCGTAGGAAGAAGCCGTTTGAGTGGACAACCTCTTGGGAGTCGGTTCCACGAGGCATTGGTTCGTAGGAAGAAGCTGTTTGAGTGGACAACCTCTTGGGAGTCTGTTCCACGAGGCATTGGTTCGTAGGAAGAAGCTGTTTGAGTGGAACTTACATCTCACCAGGAGAATATAAAGAGAATAACGATGGTTCGATACACTGAGCTTGGTATGGCGAATCTTAGTCGTAATGTTAGCGCTGGTTGAACTAAGGAGTGTAGTTAATCGGTACACTCTCCATGGAATCAGTGATATTGCAGCGATAGAGTTACGACGTTTCATGAGAAAGGGGTTGCATCGTGGAAAATAATTCGTCACCTACAAGGACGCGGAGACGTTTTTGGAGTGGACAGGGCAGTGGTGGAGACTTGGCAGCTCCCGCCCGTATATGACCCCATTCTCGGACTGATCTGGCTATTGTAAAGGTAGAGGATAGCAGGAGATACTTGTTGGAGCGGTACAGGGAAACGACCATTTTTCCAGCATATTTAGTGATGGATCGTATGTACGAGTTCCAGTTGAGGTCTAGGTTGGGTTTAAGTCCCAAGAGGCGTTCCAGTCACTGAGCCTTCCCTGAGGAACATCCGTTCATCACAACTGGTGAATGTTCTGGTAGCAATGATCTGTGTGATTTCTCTTTTCTTCCATGTGCTGTGTCCCTTCGGGACGTCGGCGATCATGGCTTCTCCCAATTTTCTATCCTTTATCATCATTATCACCATCATCCGCTTGATTTTTGTAATCGTAGGTGGGGGATCCGAATGATGAAGCCATATTGAATCGCCCTTACAACGGTCTACCAACGACAGCCATCAGCAATTTTGGTATAGTCATACTTTTCAATTTTTTGAGAGTTTTGGCGTTAGCGTCCTCTCAAACGTCTGCCTTCAATGGTGCCTTGCATGATCGTCTTGCACAGGCTCTCGTGCCATGTAACGTGTTCAAACCACACCATTTTTCTCCGCTTGACAATGGCAAGATGAAGTTCCTGGTGACCTACAGAACGTTCAATACTCCTCCGTACAGACTCATTGGTTTTATGTTCCCAATAGAAAATGACAAGGGGTTTTCTCATCCTTTCGTTCTAAAATGGTCTGTCCTTTATGGCCCTTAGTAAATTTTGTCTTTATGATCGATCTCTTAATCCTTCTTCTGACAACCATTTACGCAAACACGTTATCTTGATAACACGCTGCTTTCCTCTGTCACTCTTATCTCAAGTATATCCTGTGAGTGTTAAATTTTCCAAGCCCCCTTTTCTCATTTGCCCTAGACATTTTAACTGTCCCTTTTTAAGCTGAACCTTTTTGTTTCCATTTGTTTTTTGAAAACTTCGTCATTACTCACGTATTCTGTAAATGGTTTTCTTAGTATCCTTTAGATTCATATTTCTGTTGCATCAAGTAACATTTTTTTTTTATTTGCGATGAGATTGTCTATCATTCATTGTCATTTAAAAGGACCTATTTTTACAGTTTCAGTAGTCTCTTTTTAGTTTCTAACGAAAATTTCCTATTTCTTATTACTTTGCTTAGCTTTCGGATTACAACGAGTCTTTGGATTTCTGCGCCATATTTTGCTTCCTTTGTTAAACCACTATCTAAATGTTTAAATGTTCGTACATGATTGCGTACCTCTGGTAACTTTTTAAGCTTTTAAATGCACTTACCATAAATTTTGAAAAAAGCATAGGTAGTAATCGTAATTTAAAAAAAAAGCAATAACATTAAAAAGTAAAAGTTTATTTTTGTTCAAAATGCAATAACATTTAACAATGTTGCAAGATCGTTCTATACATCGCCAGTATGTTTTTGTTTCATCAGCATTTTTTTATGATAGTGGCAGCTGTAATTTTCCTCGTCCACAAATATTTTTCCATCACTATTTGATATTCGGAACTTAACTATAGGTTCCAAATAAAAATATAATCTATAAAATCCAGTACCTATTAAATGTTTGGGGTACGCACTGCTGCCGTGAACTGAAACTTATAGTTTAATTCTTCTCTCATTTTTTACTCACAGTAACAAACTTTCTGGGTGTTTCGAGTTATTAAATGTATTGGCGTGCAAATTTCTATATTAGACAACTCTTTAAAAAAAATCCTAACTTCAAAAAAAATAACCAGAGGTAAGCAATTATCTAGGGAAGAATTTGTCTAGAGACGCAAATGTCCATAGACGCAATTTTCTGATATGCAATTGTCCGAGACATAACTGTCCGTCCACTGTTAGCGGCCAGTCTAGGAGAATGAGAGCTTTTAATTCTTTCCCTCAAACATGAGGAGAAATGTTTTAAAACTTCGTGGCATACTGTGCACCATTTCTATCTTATCAGTTCTTTTGAAAAGTGTGGCTAGTTCGACAGAAATCACCACCCGCTTAATCAAATCATCTAGGTACATCATCTGACTTGTTCAGTCCTAAAAACTAAAGTGTTAGAAATCGATGGAAGAGCCCCCTACACACACACACACACACACACGCGCGCGCATATATAAATATAAATATATATATATATATATATATATATATATATATATATATATATATATATATATATATATAGTGTATTGGGGCAGGAAATCATTATTTAAACATATATTGTTAAATATAACAGGTAATTATGTCCATTATGTCTGATCATGAGTCTTTCTAATGTTCGTATGTTTGCTTTAATTTCGGTTGAAAATAATGACAAAAATTGATATTTCGGCCTCTTTCGTGGTATGACGACATAGAACCGCATCTTGAACTTACGAACTGCGTCTGCTATTATATAAGATTAAAAATATTATCTTTGATGGTAAATGTCTTTCTTAAAATGTCCGTATGACAACTCTGAAGATGGCTCATGTGAGCCGAAAGCTTAGATCAAGGACCAACTTAAAAAAAAATATCCAAATGTTGGACAATTTTTTTCTTTATTTTCAGCCGAAATTGAAACAAACATGAACATTGAGAACGGTTCATGATCAGACATAATAGACATCACTCTCTTGTATATTTAACAATATATATATATATATATATATATATATATATATATATATATATATATATATATGTGTGTGTGTGTGTGTGTGTGTGTGTGTGTGTGTGTGAAAATATATAGAAAATAGGAAATAACTCGTTAGGTAAATAATCCAAAGTTCTTTAGTATTTTTGTTATTATTTTTTAAAAATAGTGCTCGATACAAAATTAGAGCATAAATATAATTATTTATTTAAATATATGATTCCAACATGTAGCGTGTTGGAATCATATTTTTAAATAAATAATTATATATATATATATATATATATATATATATATATATATATATATATATATATATATATATATATGTATGAACTTGCCTAACTACATTCTCGTTATTTAATCCTCCCTTTGATATCTTTTAACTTTTTGGTGTTCTTTTATCCCCGCCACAATTAGATTTCTCCTTAGAGATCTATTTTCATTTGATGTTTTTGACGGTTTTAAGGGTGATATCATTTTGCAAATTTCTAAGTTCCCGTGATGCAGACTCTTACATCATTGTTCGGATTCTATATTCACAATACATTTTACATTCTCAATGTATTAGCGAAAAAGTGCGTCGGCATGTTGATCATTGCTATCAAATAACGAGTTTCATACTTCACCAGTGTGCCATCCAAACATTGCCGATAAATATGCTTAATAAAACTTGACGTGTCAACCGCCATATTGTATAGTTTCTTTCACTGTCACTGATTTTTCATAAATGCATTTTAACTTGTGTTTATCCATAGTTTAATTTTCATTTCATTATCTTTTCTTAATCCATTAATGGGTTACAAACAGAAACGTACAATTACTACGGGATTTTTATTTTATTTTTCTAATTATACCGGATTTTATGGTGGGTATTAATAGATAAATAAAGATGCGTATAATAAAAGGAAGTGTGTTCACATGTATATATCAATGTTCATTCATGGATAGATAAGTAGGTATATATAT